AAGGGCCTGAGGAAGATTCCTCCTGGCTCCCTCCTGGCTCTGCCCAGAGGGGAGAGCTAACCAGCAGGAAGCAGTGACATTCACTGGACAGAGGGCATGAAGTGACCATGGGCTTGGCCTGCCTGGACAGCCCCCAATCTCTTGCTCTCAGGAGACACCTCATCTGGGAGGAGAGAGGTAAATGAGAGAAGGAAGCTGCCCGTCCCGGTCCCGAGAGCCTCCTGTGCACCCTAAGGGGCTTCTCCCAGCTCATTTCCTCACCCTCACAGTCCCAGGGGCTCCTCCATCTACTCTGCTCCCCCCCACCTTCCTTGACTTTGGGAAGAACCCTGAACCCCAAATTTACATGTTCCAAAAACAAGAAAAAAGGGAACAAGTATGACCCACACATCTTTAACGTTTTGTAATTTTCTTTCCAATCAGAACAGGGGGAAGCAATCTGGTTTTTGGCCCCAACCCCTCCTGCCCCTTCCTGCCAGATGGATGACCCAGGCCCCAGGTGATGTGCCCTGGCCACCCCACACTGCAGCTGGCATCAGACAATCATCACCCGGCTCCATCTTCTTCTGTCCCACTGGCTCTGGCTATGGGAAGGGGTTATATCAAGGGAGATTTCTCAACAGCCATGGCTGCTTACAGTGCCCAGAGAGGAGCAAGGAGTAGGCACAGGGGACAGGCCCCTAACAGCACTGGGCTCTCAGGCAGGTGTGTGCCCCTAACCAGTGCAAGAGGCACGAGCCTCTCCAAACTCCAGCCATGCCCCCAGATAGCCTGCCAGTCATGCCATCTCTCCATGGACTCTTATAAACCCTGCACGCCTGCCTAGTCTACATCAAAAAGCCCACGGTCCTTCCTATTCCAGAGCGGGGAGGGCTTCATCTCTTATTCCGTCTTCCAGTGGCTTTCCAGGGATGCAGATAAAATGCGTATCGTTTTGCTACTCAAGGCCCTCCATAAGCTTGCTCTCTCCCTTCCTTCTCCCACCCCCACCACACAGCCTACACTCCCCAACGCCATGCATATCACCCTGGTGAGCTGGCCTTCCCCATCCAGCTCCTTTCAGAATCCCCTTCTCACCATCCTTTAAGTCTACCACCCTCCGCCTCTGAATGCCTCCCAGAACTCTTCATGGTTCTCTGCACACTCTACCACCTTCTTTCCCCACTGCCTTCTAGTCAAACATCTCTCCTACTGGACAGGAGCTGTTCCCTGAGGGCAGGGGTGCTGTGGCTTCTCCAGGGTAAAGGACATTTGCTAAGTAAATGTCCGCTGGCTCCGAAAATGAAGGGCACTCCCAGAATACAAGCAGGCCGCAGAAATACGCAGACCTCTAAATAGTGCACAGCCAAGTCAAAAATAGGGGCCAGCAGTTCTGTGTGTGCTCACTTGTAATCCACCAGGACGGCAAGCCAAGCTGTGGGAGATATTACCCAATCGGAAACCATACACTAGCGAATCGCAGAACCGACTGCAGTCACCGCCCGGGGCTGTGGCTTCGCATGGACACCCCAGAGCTAGGAATCACCTCTAGAGTGAGAATAAGGCGCGCCCAAGAAACAGCACCCACCCCTACCGCTTCCGCAGCGGTGGGGCAGCCACGTGTGAGGAAGGGGACTGCAGAGTGACCCCAGGACCCCAAGGGGCTGGGCACCTCCCCGCTCACCGCCACCATCCTGTACCCAAGGTTCACGCTGCCGGAGGACCAGCTCCGCAAAGCATGGGGGTGGCCAGTCTTCCGGCCCCCGCCTCTTTCCCAGTCCTCAAACCCTCCCGGAGCCCCCAAACTGCCTCGGAGAACTCGGGGCCTCGCCAGATCAGTCTCATTAGTTAATGAGTCAGGTTAATGTTGGTTCATTTAAACTTATTGTTATCATCAGGTACATCTTGCAAACACTTGACTAGTTAACACACTCAAATCGAAACCAAAGCTTCAATTAAACTGAACATTCACTACTACCATTGAGGGTCTCAGAAAAGAAAAAAAGGAGGAGTGGAAGAGAGAGAAAGAGAAAGAAAGAATTGTCTCTAGGAAGGGCCTCCTACAGGGCAAACTTCTAATTAAACAAATTGTCAATTTCCACACAATGAAAACTGATTTAGGAATGTAAATTTAGCAGTCTAGTCACTGACAGACTCACACAGGCTGATTTCCGAGGCTAAGGAAATGGAGAGAAGAGAGAGGGGGAAACGCTGAGGGATAAACAAGCCAGAGCCATCAGCCTTCACAAATAACAACTCCGCAGATTCAATGTGGGCTCGACTCAAGCATGGGAGAAACACTTTCCTTGCCTCCTCCTTCACCCCACCCCTTCCAGATCAGAAAAAAAAAAAGTAATCGTGTATGATGACAAACTTGGCTCAGCACTCACTGTACACACTGTACCCACAGGGCTGGCTTCCAGCCAGGCCTGGCCCAGGGCCAGAGCTACAATAACAAACACCCCCATGCTCGCCAAGAGGGGGTGGGGACAGCTAGCACACAGAGCGAGGGAGAGCGAGGGAGGGCAGGCTGTTCTGCTCTGCTGAGCCGGAGCCAACAGGAATGTGCCCGTGCAGGAGACAGCAATGACATTCAGGGGAAGCCAGGACACCAGGACCCCACCGGGCCCCAGGCTCACTTCTCCATGGCCTGCCCCCTTTAAAAAAAAAAAAAAACAGTCCCCAGGGTTCTGGAGCCCCAGCCCTTGGGCATCTTCTGCAAAATGGGTCTGCACTACAGCCCTCAGGGAATATTCTTGTTGTCAGCTTCCTGCATGGAGCCTTCATCACAGGCAGCAAGAACATCGTGCACATCTCCTCTACACACCACACGGTTCTGTTATCCAGCAAGGAGAGCAGGAGCCAGAAGACGGGAGGCCCGACTAGTGCCACCAGGATCTGAGGGAGAGAAGGCCTGGCACCACCAGCCCAGCCTCCAACCCACCCCCAGCCACGCCAGGTCTCTGCCTTCACTGTTTAACAATTTAGCAAGTGGTCTTGCCTCCCTAAGCCCTCGTTGCTATTTTATTTTCAAGACATCCCAGCGAAGGGGTGAAAGGTCTGTGGGACAGACCTGTCTCTAAGCAGCTCACCGTCTGTTAGAGAAGCAGAGGGAAGGGCAGCCTACCCACGCTGAGCACCTGTCATGCGCCAGGCACAGCGCTAAGAATCTGATGTGAGCCACAGCCGCTCAGAGGCAGGCGAATACTCACCTTACAGATGGGGACACGGTGGCTCACAGAGCTTACATCTACCCAAGGTCACATGGTCAGCACGAATTCCTAACCCTGACTCCCAAGTAGAAGAGATAAGGCGAGTCCACAAATAGCCATGATATGAAGAACGAGTGTGCCCAAAGATGCTCCAGATAAAGACATGGCGCCCAGAAGAAGGCGCAACTATCCTGCTGGGGGAGGGAGGGGTCAAGGACGGCCTTGCAGAAGGGACCTGGAAGGTCTAGGAAGACAGGGAAGGTGATTCCACGCAGAGGGAGCGAGGGGTTTGCAGGCAGAGCGAACCCAGAGGTCGAACAGCCTTGTTGGCAGACAGCTCATGAAACCCACCCACACTGAACCCTAAGCAGCATAAAAAGCTGAAGGGAAGCAAGGAGACAGACGATGCAAGTAACAGAAACAAACAAAGGAGTCATGAGCACCGGGCAGACGCTGAGGGCAGGGACACCTGGACTCGGGATGCCGGCCAACATGGGACAGGCAGGCGGCACGAGGATGGGCAGTGGAGCCAGGCGTGGGGTGGAAAGGCCGGAAGGGAAGGAGGAAGGGGACACACAAAGACAGGCGGACAGAGGGGACATGCCAAGACAGACAGCCCCTCCATATAGCCTGGCCCCTGGATGTGGAAGAAGGAAGGACAGGAAGCAAGAAGGAGTGAGGGCCCTTCAGGCAAGGCAGTGAGCCGAGGCACTGAAACCACCCCACTTTTTTTTACTCTCTGCGCGGGAGATGGAGTGAGGACAGACTGCAGCCGGCCACTGACCAGGAGCTCTGGAGCACGGTGAGAGGAACACGCCCCAGATGACATCACGGCTGGGGCAAAGAGGAAGGTGGAAGCAGAAGCAATCGCCATTCATTACAGAGCAACTGTATGCCAGGGTGCGAGCTACAGATGCCTTTAACATATTCTACCACCTCAGACTAAAAGGAAGTATACGAGCGAGCAACACCTGCATTTACAGATGTGGAAACCGGGGTTCAGAAGGCAGATCTGCCCAAGGTCCCACAGTTAGCACATATCACAGACAAGATGGAACCTTCATCTGCACGACCCAAAGCCCATGCTCGCCGAAGCAATCTGGGGAAGAGCCGGCAGACGCTGACCGCTGCTACGAGGGGAGAGCAAGACCAGATGAGAAGGTAGTCCCTTCCTCTCCCCCAAAATGTGCCGCCGAAGCTGAAGGAAGGGAACGAGAAGGAAGCGTGCACAGGCCGGGCAGGGGACCGGGCGGGGTGGGGCTGGGCTCTGCAACTAAAGCGGTGACCCTGGGCCTCCAGCAGCACCAGGGGGGGCTGCTGTGTCCGGCCTCCCACCATCAACGCCCGGCCCCCCTGAGTCAGGGCTTCTCCCCTTTTTAAACCGAATGCGGCAGAGCAGCTTTGCCCAAACACGAGAAAAAAATACCGACAGCCGCCTAGGCGACCCCGCTGGAACGGGGTAAAATTAACTTGCAAAACACAGCACGAGTAACTAGCTCTGTGTTCCAACCTTTCTATATCTATTTAATTAAAGGCTCCTGGATAATGTGAACCCAATAGTCAGATTCATTAGAGAGCGAGAACCTAATTCCACCACTGTTTTGCTAATGAGGCCGCATTCTGCTTGGGAAGGTGGGGCACAGCCTCAGGATGGACTTTCTGCTCCATGAACCTGGAGGGAGCACCCACGGGACAAGGTGGAGGGAGCCAGGCCTGGCGGGCAGTGGGGACGTCCATTCTCTGAGTGGAGGAAAGAGGGCAGGAGGGGCTGGCGGTGCGGGGAGGGGCAGTCAAAGCCTCCGTGCCTACCTGAGTGAGCCAGTAAGTGCATTCTCAGTCGCAAACTATCGAGGAACCGCTTTCCGCAGAGCTCACACCCGTACGTCTTCATCCCGCTGTGCAGCTTCCTGTGGGAAAAGGAGAAGACAGGTTGCCACTGCTCTGGCTGGACAGGAGGCCCTCCCTCGGGCAGGCGACAGGAGGAAGGAGGTGCGGGAGCGGGAGCCGGAGCTGGGCACAGTGGAGACAGATTGCCTGAAGGCCCCTCTTCCCTACGGACCCCTGCAAGGAAGACCCTGTTCCTGGTCCAGGGGGTAGGAGAACAGCCCCCCCCCTACTGCTCACTGGCACATACACACACACAAAAACACCCCCAAATCGGATCCAACTTCAGAGGGTGGGAGGAAAAAGCCCAGGACAGTCAGACAGCCTGGGCCTTGGCCAGAGCACTGCCCTGGCTATGCTGAGGCTGTGCAGGGTCCGGCTCTGCAGGGCCCGGCTCCCAAGACGTCTGGACCCAGGAGGGCCAGACCTGCACCCTGCCTCGCTCCAGCTCCCACTCCGGTGGGATGCCGCAGGCAGCGAACGCGCTCAGTAACGAGCTGTACGGACACGAGATGCTCCTCTCTCAGGCTTCCAGATGTTCTCAGAACCACGGCGGCTCCCCAACATGCATGCCTTCCCCTAAGCCCAGCTTTAGGTCTTCCCGCTAGTCTTGCTGCAGGGTGGGCCCTCACCGAAAGAGAGGCTTCGAGAAACCAGGGGATAGTCTACGAATGAAAGGTGGTCATGGTCATGTTTGGGTTTCCAACGGACTGTCCTACATGTTACCGCATTGGACCATCACTGCAGTTCTGAGGGGTGGGTTTGGCACATGGGATCGCCCCAGGAGACAGAGGCCCTGTCGACAAGTGACCGCAGGCCCAGCCGACACGGTGCCTGGCCCCTGCTCCCGAACCAGGGCCTTTCCCACCAGCCCCATGGCCCCATCAGGAGCCAGCAATGGAGCCACCACGACGCAGGGAAGCAGGCGGGCTAGAGGGAGCCGAGCACCGGGAAGAGGGTCCGAGCACACACGCTGGGCTCTGAGCGGCTGGCTGGTGTGTGGGCCATCTGGCCCAGAACACGGACTTCCCTCTCACCCACACTCCTGTTCTCAGGCCTTTCCCTGCCTCTGCCAGGATCCACCTCGACCCTCCTCTGCCCCTCACCTGCCCAGGGGCCTGGCCCGGAGGAACAGGGTGGACTGCGGCCGCCAAGGGCAGGAGCCAGGTTGGTGGGGCAGGCAGGAGGCAGGCAGGAGGCCTGCAGGCCCCTTAGAGACAACACACTATTGCAATCGAATGTTGATGTGTTAAGGCCATAGTGAAAGGCTGCAGAGAGAGCTGCTGGTACTGACTCTAGATAAACGCGGGAGGGGAGGGAGCGTTATACACTCGAGCCAGCAGCGCGCAATCTGGGCCTCAAGGCCCAGATCATGACAACTACACTAAGCCACCCACTGCCATCGCCTTCCAAACCCCACAGTGAGAACCCGCGGTGTCAGAACCCTGGGGCCCAGGTGAGCCGCCTCGGCCAGTCCCTGCGAGGCCTGTGGTGTCCAGTGTGCGCGCCCACGGTAGACACACCCAGCCCCAAGCAGGCTCTTTCTCAATCACAGCGCTGTTGCTGGCTTTCCCTTTACTCCTTGCCAAAGCCAACAACTGATTTCTCAATCACACACACACACACACACACACACACACACACCCTCGTCCATGATAGTGTAGTGCACCCCACCCCCATGTTATCTTTCTCTGGGCCACGATGACCCGTCCCAATTGAGAAATAGTAACAGTACAGAACATTTTAACTGAACACTTTTGACTCTAAGTGTATTTCACAATGCTGGGCACTGGGACATGTCTTAGCAGCATTCTGGACAAAGCATGTTCTGGAACACACTAGCCTAGCCTCTTATCCATGAGGGATATGTTTCCGGGGATGCTGAAACCGATAGCACCGAACCCTATACTATGTACTATGTTTCCTCTCTATACATAGAATAAAGCTTACTTTATAATTGAGGCAAAGTAAGTGATGAACAGCTATTAATAAAAAATAGAACAATTATACCATACTATAATAAACGTTATGGAAATGTGGTCTCACTTTCAAAACATCTCCCTATATGCTACCCACCATTCTTCTGATGGTGAGAGGTGATACATCCCTACGTGGTAAGATGAAGTGAAATCAACATTGCGACACGGCGTCAGGCTGCTGTTGACCTTCTGAACATACGTCAGAAGGAGGGTCACCTCCTTCCGGTGATCCTGGATCACCCAGCCATGACGATGTGAATGGCTGGACATCAGGAGCAGACGGCATCGGTGGCTGGAAAAACTTAGTACTTTAGGACCATGGTTGTCTGTGGGTCCCCAAAACCGTGGACAAGGGGAGACCGCTGTACAGCTCCAGGCACATGAGCATGTACACACACGAGGAGCACGCACATGCGTGATGACTGCGTGTCCTGTCGCCTGCAGGCATGACAGATATGTGCTTCTCCAACAGGCGGTCCAGGGAGTGGCCAAAGCTCTCGTTACACGTGGTTCAGCAAGTGAACCCCTTGCCCACATTCATGGTCAGGGTGGCGGCTGGCAGAGTCTGAGTTTCAGTCTTATTTATGTTCGTCCTTCCCTTCACTAGTGACTTCCTAGCTCCCAGGGGTGCCCGCTTCCCAGGACGTGGCTGTCAGGAGGAAGAGGGGGGATGAGCACCATTCGGCTTTATTTTCCCAAAAGGACTCCAGAGGACCGGTCTTCGGTTTCAGCAGCCACTACCCTCTACCGGCCCTGGGACTCCCACCTCCTTTTCACACCAAGTTCTTCACCAAGATGAACACTTCCTGGGTAACTCCCCACCTTTTTTCCAGATCAGAGTATCTGATGGGCAACTGGTGGCGGTGGCTTTCTTGGCCCACTTCCCTCGGGCGGTGTGAGAGGTGCCGTGCTCCAGCCCGCCACTGCACAGGGGCACGGGCAGGGGCAGGGGCAGGGAAGGCTGCCCGGCGAGCAGCCCCAGGACCTGGCTCCTCATCCCGACTCGGTCATGAACCTGCTCATGACCTTGGACAAACCATGCCATGGCGACCTCTGCAGGGTCATCACCTGTAGAGTGATGTGGGTGACAGCTAAGATTCTGGTCCCGCCTGGAGTCAAAAGTTTATTATTCAGAAGTCTTATCCACATCCTGTTCCTAGCCTCCCCAGGCACTGTTTATTCTCGCTGAGCCACGTGTCCACTCGGGTGACGTCCCACGACACCCACGCAGTCGGCATGGGAGAGCCTCAGCAAAAATCGACACCCCATCGCAGAAACCTGTTCACTAAAAACATCCTCATACATGACCTCCTTCCCTCACGTGTGCTCTACCTTTCGGTGAAAGTATCTCCCAGATCTCATCACCAGCCTCTCTTCTGGTGCTGCCCCCTCGCCCGCCTTCAGAGACACAGGTGTCCTACCTGTCCAGTCCTTGGGGTAAGGGCACCGGCCTGCACCTGACCCACTGACTCAGTGCCCCACACAGCTCACCAGAGGCGCCCACGTGACCCCACAGGAGTGTGAGAACAAAGGTCCTTCCCACGGCAGAGGGACCAGGGCCAAGCACAGAGTCCAGGAGAGAGAAGGGGACGCCTCCCAGGCCTGGTGGCTCCGTGGAGCGCAGCACTGGTCTGTGCGTAGCTTTCATTGCTGTTCGGACCAGGGGAGACTGTGAGAAAGTGGAGCCTTCTCCTAATTCAAAGGAAAAGAACTTGGGTTCATTCAAGGGACTTGCGACCAACAGATTCCAGGGCACAGTCTGCAGAATGCCCAATATGGAGCTAGAATTCCAGCCGGCTTTGGAGTACGCATTTGTATGAGCTCACCGTCTGTCACTCTTCAGACCACAGCCCTCACTGCCATGACCACATTCGGCAACTGCAAAGCATTTTGATTAAAATGGAAATTCTGTCACCTCTTTTCTCCTTACCACGCACACTCCTACTTTCCCAGTCTGGTCCTGTCCTTTCACAAAGTCCAACTGCTCCTGGCTATTGGAAGTCATCAGGGAGGTAGGACAGCAGGGGACATCTTTCTGAATATTGCTTGGTTTTCACTCTCCTCTAGGAAGCAACATTGCCCTGGCCAGTGTTCCCAGCGGTTAGAGCGCCGGCCTGCGCATGGAAGGCTCTTGAGTAACTGGTCAAGGGCACGTACCCGGGTTGCAGGTTCAATCCTCAGCCTAATTGGAGTGTGTGCGGGAGGCAACCAATCCATGTGTGTCTCTCTCTCACATCCACGCCTCTTTATTTCTCTGAGTCATGCACTCACGATCTCTCTCTCTCTCTCTCTCGCTCTTTCTCTCTCTCTCTCTCTTCCCTCCCCCTTCTTCTCCTTTCTTTCTCTCAATATCAATGGGGAAAATATCCTCAGGTGAGGATTAACCAAACCAAACAAAAAAGCAGCAACACTGCTGAACACCATTTTGAAAGTAGCCCCGCTCCAGGGGGCCCATGTACCTCCACTCCACACTCAGTGCAGGACCATTCTCCCCACACGCTCAGGCCCTCACCATCCACTTTGGGGAGCAGGCTCAAGTTCTCCCCACCCCTAGCTCTGCCCCTTCACAGACCACACCTGGCCCATTGAGTAAGCTCACCTTGACTTCCACAGATTTACATTTCTATCCAAAAGACAAAGAAAAAAATGAACCTCTAACAGGTTTCTAGCTATTTGCTCAAGAGAACTGCATCTTTATGAGAAATTAAGTCTGAGCAAGTCTGAACCTTTTAGCAAGTAACCAGAGAGAAAGGCTCATTCTTTCTCACAGATTCTCAACCACACAATTCTCACCAAGGTAGCAAGTCCACGCTCACCCAAACCATTGCAGTACTGCTGTGAGTCTGGAAATGTATAGAGATTTCATCTGCTTTAACTGGCAAATGATACAATGGCAGAATATGATGGTGATGTACAAGCAATATAATGTTTACTTTTCCTCTTCTTCGTGGGCCTAGTTTAGAAGGGATTGTTCAGTTCTGCTAAAGAGGTTCCTCTATCTAAGGTGGGGTCTAGGCACCCTCCCCCATCCTAACAACATTCCA